TTTAATAAAAGTAGGGCATTTTTAAAATCGTATGTTCAAATAAAACGCTCAAGAAAATAAAGAGGAAAAGCTGAAATTTATTCTTTTTCTATTTTTCATCTCAACTCAACAGTCTCAACCAAGACAACAACACATTTTCATTCATGATTTTTATATGATTTTGATTCCAGAGAGCTCCGTTTCACTTATCAGCACCGTCATAGTGAATGAAACTTAAGCAAAGAGAGAGTGTTCGGCTCATCTCTCTTATTTCAAGGGAACAGCACATCGAGAAGAAAACCGTTGTAAACAGTCTGGGTAAACAGAGTGAATAGCGAATAGTGAGAGTGATCGGTGCGGAAGAACACCCAGTAGGAGACTGCTTGCTTTATGTCCGCTTCCCTATGGGTCTGGACATAGAGCCATACCTGTCAACATTGGGATGTGGAAATAAGGGATATGCCCGCCGTAATAAGGGATTCCCCTGACGCTCGCTTTAAAAAATCCCCAAATTACTAAATATGTTCATTTGGAGCTGGTTCACTGTAAATAAACAGTCAGTAATATGTTTTATTAATATTATTTACAAAAGAAAAAAATAAATAGTATACATTAGCAGCAAATGAATGAGCAAACAGTTCAGCTTATTAAAATTAATAGCTATTATAATGAAATAGAATCAAGCTATCAAACCTCATTAGCCGTTTCTTTACTGTATAACTCACACATTCTGATTAAAGAGAAATTAATGAATCGCTTATTTATTTAGATTTTTTTCAGAGGGGTCACTTTAATAATGCACACATCTAACGTCACAATGAAACCATTCGATTGCTTTACTAATTTTTTATGCTCATTTAGGATAAAAATGTGTTCAAATTAGTTGTGTTTGAAAAAAACCCCACCAAGATCAACATCTTTAGATGTTGTTATTATTATTGTTATTGACATTATTGTCTGTTTAAACACGCACCCAAAACCCAGACTTTTGCTTCGCTTCAAGTCGCGTGTGCAGAATGCGTTTGGGAAACGGCGTCTATTTATCTCTATGGAGCGCGTCAGCTGACACTCATGCACCGTGACTGTTTAGAGGATTGCATATGAAGGGGAGACGGCACCTGTAATGAAAAGGAAAGGGAATTCCGCTGTTTATATATTTATTTCAAAGTGTTTTCATGCATGAACAAAGCGAAAGCACGGCACAGACTCACAAATAAGAGCAAGAGGCGGCCCCTGGTGGTCTGGCGGTATGGGTTACATATAGGCAGGATTGCACTTTAAGGTTTATTTGCCACACTTCGGAGAAAGACTGAAAATACGGGAGAAACACAGGAAAAACGGGAGGGTTGACAGGTAAGCACAGACCTCGAGCCACCTGTTAGAGACTACTGATCTAGGCTATGTTTGCAACAACAACAAAAAACGGCCTCACCTGCGTATTTGTGCTGTATCTCCTTTACTTGCCATGCTGGAACCCACAGAAACTCCACAATGAGAACCGTTGCATCCCTAATACCTGCATGTAAAACTATATACAAGCAGATGCAATGAAACTGTCCTGTTGTACAAAAGATAAAAAAGTATGTATATAAACTAACTAGAAATCAGAAATACTGTATACGATAGGAATATCAGCTTTTAAGCATGTCCAGCAACACTGCAGCAAAGAGGATCTTGTTTTTGAGTCTGAGCTCTGCATTTTCAGTTGGATGTATTGGACTGACTGGGAAGAGGACCCGAAGGAGAGCAAGCGAGGGAAGATTGAGCGGGCCTGGATGGACGGGACTAACCGGAACGTTCTGCTGACCTCAAAAACGGTGCTGTGGCCCAACGGTCTGAGTCTGGACATCCCTCAGGGCATCCTGTACTGGGTGGACGCGTATTATGACCGCATCGAGATGGTTTATCTCAACACCACTGCACGCAAGGTGCCCCGACACCACTGACCTCACAGATCACACTCATAGCAACTCAGACATGTGTCCGCACTTAAAGTCCACATGAAATCAAAACTAACAGTAGTGATTTCGTTAGCTCATACTGCATTTACATTTACATTTAGTCATTTAGCAGACGCTTTTATCCAAAGCGACTTACAAATGAGGACAAGGAAGCAATTTACACAACTATAAGAGCAACAATGAATAAGTGCTGTAGGCAAGTTTCAGGTCTGTAAAGTCTAAGAAGGAAAGTATTAGTACTTTTTTTTGAGAACAGTTAGTGGTATATTCAGAGAGGCAATTGCAGATTAGGAAGTGAAGTGGAGACTAAATAGTTGAGTTTTTAGTCGTTTCTTGAAGACAGCGAGTGACTCTGCCGTTCTGATGCAGTTAGGGAGTTCATTCCACCAACTGGGCAGATTGAGCGTGAGCGTTCGCGAAAGTGATTTCTTCCCTCTTTGGGATGGAACCACGAGGCGACGTTCATTCACAGAACGCAAGTTTCTGGAGGGCACATACATCTGCAGAAGTGAGAGCAGATAAGAAGGAGCAAGGCCAGAAGTCACTTTGTAGGCAAACACCAGAGCTTTGAATTTGATGCAAGCAGCAACTGGCAGCCAGTGCAAACGGATGAGCAGCGGAGTGACATGTGCTCTTTTAGGTTCATTGAAGACCACTCGTGCTGCTGCGTTCTGGAGCAGCTGAAGAGTCTTGATAGAGTTAGCTGGAAGCCCCGCTAGTAGAGAGTTGCAGTAATCCAGTTTGGAGAGAACAAGAGCTTGAACAAGTAGTTGAGCTGCATGTTCAGATAGGAAGGGTCGGATCTTTCTGATGTTATAGAGTGCGAATCTGCACGATCGAGCAGTTCTAGAAATGTGGTCAGAGAAGTTTAGTTGGTCATCAATCGTTACTCCAAGGCTTTTCACCATTTTGGATGCAGTAATGGTTGCCCCATCCATCTGGATTGAAAAGTTATGGTGTAGAGTCGGGTTGGCAGAAACTACAAGGTTTTTGCTAGCTTGATGGTGAACAATTCATCTGTGCACAAAGAAAAAAAAAAGGTTTGCACGACTATTTTTCTTTTGTATCGTGACGCAGTTCCTAGAGAAATGGAATGTTACATGTAAAAACAGTGGGCGAGGCTTGTTTTGTTCTACTGCGAGCTGATTGGATGTAGTAAAGTAGGCGTTTCATTCAGAAAGATGGAGAAAAGGGTTTGGGGAGAGTTATTAAAGCCTAACAGACTCCTCCTCCTCACCATTTCTGTTTGTTGACTGACAGCTGGAGGGGCGTGGTTATGTATGTAAGCCACGCCCAATACCTCAGTCTGACCTAATCTGAGAATTTAACTGACCACAAACAGGAAGTGCATTTTCTGATTTCAATTAAAGATTACAAGAGCTATTGGTTTTTTAATGACATGCACAGATGGATTGTTCAGCACACAACTAGCAATGTGGGCTAGCATTACAACATCACTGTGGTTAGTTTTGATTTTATGCGTACTTAAAGAATGGAAAACAAGACTTGCTCTACTCACCAGTTGTTGATCATGTAACATCATATGCTTTCTTTTAGACGGTTTATGACGGACAGGAACTGAACCACGCTTTCGGCCTGTGCCATTATAAGCACTTCCTGTTCTGGAACGAGTATCGCAGCGGCAGCATCTACAAACTGGACCAGAACACCAAAACAGTCACTTTGCTACGCAACGAACGTCCACCAATCTTTGAGATCCGCATGTATGACGCCCAGCAGCAGCTAGGTAAAGTTATAATATGTGTTGTGGATTTAATTTTCATTATCAAATGTTTCCCAAATGATGTTGAACAGATTCATAAATCTTCCAAAGTATTTCCTATAACATTTTTACTTCTGGTGAAAGTCTGATTTGTTTTAATTTGGCTAGAATAAATTAATTTAATAAATTTTTTAATAGTTTTAAATTCATTTTAAGGTCAATATTATTAGCCCCCTGAAGCAATATTAGTTTTTGATTGTCTCCACAACAAAACCACTGTTATACAATGACTTGCCTACTTTCTCTAACTTGCCTAATTTTGCCTGAAGACTAGTATCTTAAAAAAAATCTAGTAAAAAATTATGTACTGTCATCCACACACACATAGAAACACAACCTATTCATTCATTCATTTTCTTCTGGCTTAGTCCCTTTATTAATCCATGGTCGCCACAGCAGAATGAACCGCCAACTTAAGGCTGATTTATACTTCTGCGTCAAACGCCGGCGTATGCTACGGCGCTGACGCATAGCCCTTCGCCGTGGCCGTCAGCGTGGCTGACGTGCACCTCTCAAAAATTGTAACTACACGTCGCAACGACGCGTAGCGCAAGCTCTGTGATTGGTCAGCTTGGTAGTGCTGATGAGTCTGGGCGGGACCGAGAGCCGCGCGAATGGCGCGAGCTGGACGGGAGCCCAATGGAGCGATTGTTTACAAGTGTGGAGTCCCGTGAAGAAGCTCCGGATGGAAAGTTTTGTTCTGTGTTTACCTCATGGTTAAAGTTGTTGCACGTTCGCCGGTTCCTGCCTCAAAATGAGCGAGTTTGAGTCACTTGTACAACCAGGAAGTGTTCAGGAAAAGCAAAACAAAATCGAAGAAACTCGACACAGAGGAACATTTACTCCTCACTGCCCACTAGTGTTTCGGAAGTGTTAATGCAGACCAACAGAGACAGCGCACAGAAGTATAAATGCACAGCCACGCGCGTTGCATGCGCCGTGGGTTACGCCGGTCACTTGACGCAGAAGTATAAATCAGGCTTTATCCTGCACATTTTAAGGCAGCGGATGCCCTTCCAGCCACAACCCCTCTCTGGGAAACACAACCTCATACACACATACACACACATACATTCACACACACACACACACACACACACACACACACACACACACACACACACACTACTGACAAATTTAGCCTACTCAATTCACCTGTACCGCATGTGTTTGGACAGTGGGAGAAACCGGAGCACCCGGAGGAAACCCACGCAAACGCAGGGAGAACATGCAAACTCCACACAGAAACGCCAACTGAGCCGAGGCTCGAACCAGCGACCTTCTTGCTGTGAGGCAACAGCACTACCTACTGCGCCACTGCTTTGCCTGTTAATTTTGCATATAAATAATAAATATACACAGACTTACGTTATGTCAAAACAATTTTTATTGAATGCGAATAATTTCACTTTTTTATTGTGTCTAGATGTTTAGTAATAATTAAGTAAGGCAGTTCAGCCTGTAAATGCTCATTGGGTGTTATTTTTCTGTATTCATCACAGGAAGTAACGCATGTCGATCCAATAACGGCGGCTGCAGTAGTCTATGTTTGGCCACGCCCACTGGCAGGTCATGTGCCTGTGCTGAGGACCAATTACTGGACCCCGCTGACAACACCAGCTGTAAAGGTGAACACGCACTACACACACATTTACACACCAAATTATAAAACACCTGAGTTGTTATGATCCTAATTCTTTTTCTTAGCCATGACTAGGCCCACACGGAATTTTCCGTATATTTTCTGCAGGTTTCCGCAGATTTTAAGCCCATCATTAATTCTGTTTATTTACTTGAGTAAATGTGTGTAAATCTATATTTATTCAGTTTTTAAATTAATTACAGTAATATTATTGACTAATATGAAAATGTTCATCTGATTCATGTACAATGCAGTTTGTACAGTCATATTTTCTGTCTTTTGGTAGAGATATTACATAGAAGACTTGCTTTGTTTACCAAATAAAGTGAATCTAATAGTGTTTGCTTTGTAAACATTAAATTAGAGTTTAAAAAATATATATATATTTTTTTTATTTCACATATTAGGGTTTTATTTATGATACTCCGCCGGATACTTCCAAAATAATTCCGCAGAAATCCGCAGATTTATACCAAAATTCTCTGCAGAAATAGCAAGAAAACGTCCGCAGATTTCGTCTGGCCCTAGCGATGACGTACTTTTATAAAAAAAATTCAACCGCCATGAAAATATTTTCAGTTCAAAACTGTCTCATAAGTTTGAAAGTAGAGAACCACATGTCAAAAGTACTTTTGTAATTTTGTACTGGAACCCACATGGACGAAGATTCTCACAAAAATCAGTCAAGTTTGGTGAAGGAAAAGTCATGGTTTGGGATCACATTCAGTATGGAGAGATCTGTAGAGTGGATGGCAACATCAACAGCCTGAGGTATCAAGACTTCAGCCTCCACATCAAAGCTCCTGAAAGCAAAGAAGGTCGAGGTGCTCCAGGATTGGCCAGCCCAGTCACCACATATTAACATTATTGAGCATGTCTGGGGTAAGATGAAGGAGGAGGCGTTGAAGATGAACACAAAGAGTCTTGATGAGCTCTGGGAGTCCTGCTGAACGCTTTCTTTGGCATTCCAGATGACATTATTAATCAGTGATTTGAGTCATGTCAGAGATGTATGGATGCAGTCCTCCAAGCTCATGATGGAGTCAGACACAATATTCATTCTGTCTCCACTGCAGCGGTTAGCATAGAGGGTAATAAACACATGCATTAATGACTACGTTTAATGTGCTTTAATAATTGATTTTCATTATTTGTGATGAATTATTTAAGGATTTGGAAATGAATCACGTTTGACAGCTCTTTGGTATCCAGATCAGTGTAGACGTACAGTAGCCTTAATGAGGGTGCCAGAGATGATGGACTGCGGCGCTTTTGTGTGTTATTCTAGTATGCTGGATGGTTCAACCTGTTTTTAAAGAGCTGTCCATCTGATTATAAAAAGGTACTGCTCAGACAATACAAAATAAGAGTCCCATTCAATCCTGACGGAGTATGAAGTGAGAAAATGCTGGCCAATCTGGTTCTGTCAGGCACTGCAGTATTTCTAGACTTCACAGTGACACAAGCACGAGCTGAACTGAACATCTAGAGCTTTGGTGTGTGTGTGTGTGTGTGTGTGTGAAACAGAAAGCCTCCTTCACGTGTTTCCTTTCAGAGAGTTTGGCCTTCAGCAGACTTATTTACATTTACCGTGTGTGTGTGTGTCTCTCTCTCTCTCTCTTTCTGTGTGTGTCTCTCTCTCTGTGTATGTGTTTGTGTGTGTGTGTGCACCTGTGTGTATATTTTTATTTGTGTGTGTGTGTATGTGTGTGTGTCTCTCTCTGTGTGTGTTTGTGTGTGTGTGTGCACCTGTGTGTATATTTGTGTTTGTATGTTTGTGTGTGTGTGTGTGTATATGTGTGTGTCTCTCTCTCTGTGTGTGTGTGTGTGTTTGTGTGTGTGTGCACCTGTGTGTATATGTGTGTGTCTCTGTCTCTCTCTGTGTGTTTGTGTGTGTGTGCACCTGTGTGTATATTTGTGTTTGTGTGTGTGTGTGTATATGTGTGTGTCTCTGTGTGTGTATGTGTGTTTGTGTGTGTGTGCACCTGTGTATATTTTTATTTGTGTGTGTGTGTATGTGTGTGTATCTCTCTATGGGTGTGTTTGTGTGTGTGTGTGCACCTGTGTGTATATTGTGTT